CATTCCTATACTCTACATATCTGTGAGCTTTATTGCTTTGGAACACACACACTGACTACAGTATTTTAACAGGTTGATCGATGTAATAAAATTTACAGAAATGTGTGTCAATATATAATATCCGTCATGAGGCCTTTTTTTCTTTTTTTTTTAAGGTCAAAATGTATTGCTATCTTTAAGTAAGTATGTCAGTACAGCTGTTTACTTATACGTTCACTATGTGCAGCTGTGTACTTATGCATTCACTAAGTCTAGTCTCCAATAACTCATGAATGATAGTTTAAAATTGTCCCATACCACCATTAACTTGAACTTATATTTGTTATAAAAAGTAATATGTGATAATTGAATAAGTGTATTAGCTTGTGCTTTGAAAGGAAGGTTTGAAAGTATAATCAAATCTGTCACCAACCCCTGGAGTGGAGCGCTCACATTCTACAATAGTAGAATTAGAAACATTAGACTTCGGAAACATTGTCCTTTGGACAGATGACACCAAAGTGAAGATGTTTAACCATAATGCAAAGCGCCAAATTTGATGAAAACCAAACACAGCTTTTCAGCACAAACATATTATACCAACTGTCAAGCACAGTGTTGGAGGGGTCATGAGTTGAGCTTGTTTGGCAGCCACAGGACCTGGGAACCTTGCAGTCATCGAGTCGATCATGAACTCTTCTGTTACCAAAGTATTCTTGAGCCAAATGTGAGTCCATCTGTCAAACAGCTAAAGCTTGTCCGAAATTGGATCATGCAACAATAATCCTAAACACACTAGCAAATCTACAACAGAGTGGCTGAAAGAAAATTGAGGAATCAAGGTTCTGCAATGACCCAGTCAAAGTCCAGATCTCAACCCAATTGAAATGCTGAGGCCTGACCTTAAGAGAGATGTACGTAAAAAAATGTCAGAAAGCCTCAATAAACAGAAACAATGTTGTAAAGAGGAGTGGGCCAAATTCCCCCCCACCAATAAGGAAGCTATTGAAGTTGTACTCAGTTTTTCACACATGGCTTTTCCATTTTGGCTTTATTTTTGTTAAATCAATTATGATACTGTGTATTATAACATGTGTTGTTTTTTATCCGAGATTGTATTTTAAGACATAGTAAGGAACATATTTTTGTTATTATGGCCTGATATGTAAAACCATAAATATGTAACCACGGTGTATTTTATTTTTCACACGAAGGACCCAGATCATAACGAAAAAGGTATGTAGTGGTAGAGTCCAATTTGGGAGTCATTAATGCCCCCTACGTCTCCCTTACATTAATCATGCCTCATAGATTTACTCTTCCATTCAGTGTATGCTCTATTACAGACTCATGAGGACATCAATTTGGGCACAATTAAACTAAATTACCCTGGATTTAAGATACATTATGGAACTATGGAAACCATTTATTTATATGCTATTTATAATCTGGCAGAAACTAAATAAAATTACAACAAGGAGAAATATATCATACAATTTCAATGCATACTGTGAAATTTATGTCATAATAGTCCACTACTTATAGCCTATCATTTCCATTCCAGGTTTGCCAGCTTTGGACACATAATTTCAGCACCTTAAAGTAATGGGTGATTGTAAGTGCTTCGTTGAAGTATGTTAAAAGTCCAATTGTTCCACATGACCATTCATCATGTATCTGAATATCAAGATGTTTCTCATTCATGATTTTTAAATTCTTTATTCAAATAATGGGTTCCACTTTACAAAAAAGTAAGATTCAAGAAATTGACAACATTCAGAAGAAGAGGTATGGATTTTTACATGCTTAATTAGAGTTGTAAATTAATTATTACATATAGGATCATGCAATGCACAAGGAAATGAGGAACCCAAAAATAGGGAGGACGGTAACAACAAGAAAAATAACCCTACCTTTAATAATGCTAAGGGTCAACAAGAAGGACAATCTAAAAACAGAGAAGGACTGGTCCAACGTTCTACTGGAATATAAATAAAGTAATCAACTTCCATCCACAAGGAAGGGAAAATATTATCAGTTCCAGTCCTAGCGTGAAATAAGGTTAGGTAGGTCTTGAGTATAGGTAATAATAAAATGGATCCAGGAAACGGGGAGAATAGAGGGGGAAAGAGACTCAGTCCCTAAAATAAAGTATAAATATGTTTTGAACCCACTCTCTCTTCCCAGCAAGACCACATATCTAATAAAGTACAAAGGGGGATAATGGGAAGAAAACCAGGAGAAAGGGGATGAAGAAACTCCCCTTAACCCCTTAAGGACACATGACATGTGTGACATGTCATGATTCCTTTTTATTCCAGAAGTTTGGTCCTTAACCCCTTAAGGACTGGACTGTTTTTGCGATGTTGTACATTTGCGACCAGGAATATTTTTACACTTTTCTGGTGTTTGTGTTTGGCTGTAATTTTCCGCTCTCTCATTTACTGTTCCTATACAAATTATATATTGTTTTTTTCAGGACAAAAGGGGCTTTCTTTACATACCATTATTTATATAATCTCATGTATTTTAATTTAAAAAAAATAAAAACAATATGATGAAAAATTGAAAAAAATACATGTTTTTTGACTTTTACTTGAAAAATCTTTTACTCATCTACAAAAGCGAATGAAAAAAACTGCTAAATAGATTCAAAATTTTGTCCTGAGTTTAAAAATACCCAGTGTTTACGAGCTTTTTTTTGCATGTTATAGGGCTATAGGTACAAGTAGGATATTGCGGTTTCAAAACATGCATTTTTAAAATTTATCAATAGTGACATTGTAACACTATTATCTGTCATAAATCTCTGAATAACACCCCACATGTACATATTTTTTTTAAAGTAGACAACCCAGGGTATTCAATATGGGTTATGTCCAGTCTTTTTTAGTAGCCACTTAGTCGAAAACACTGGCCAATGTAAGCATTCATATTTGTTTGTGTGTGAAAAAAGTAAAAAAACTAAATTGAACGCTAATTTTGGCCAGTGTTTGTGACCAAGTGGCTACTAAAAAAGACTGGACATACCCCATTTGCAATACCTTGGGTTGTCTTCTTTTGCAAATGGTATGCCATCATGGGGGTAATTCTCATTCCTGGGCTACCATACGCTCTCAAAGGCAACGTAACCAACCTGGCCATTTTCAATGTAAAAATATTTGACCCATGTATTTGACCTTGTAACTTTCAAAAATGCTATAAAACCTGTACATGGGGGGTACTGTTTTACTCGGGAGACATCGCTGAACACATATATTAGTGTTTAAAAACTGGAAAACGTATCACAACAATTATATCATCAGTAAAAGTGCTGTTTGTGTGTGAAAAATGCAAAAAAGTAACTTTCACTGACAATATCATCGCTGTGATATGTTTTACTGTTTTGAATCACTAATATTTGTGTTCAGCGACGTCTCCCGAGTAAAACAGTACCCCCCATGTACAGGTTTTAGGGTGTCGTAGAACGTTACAGGGTAAAATACAGTGCTAGCAAATTAAATTCTCTGGAATTTCGGCCTGGGTTGGCAGGCAGGTCCCTCAAATTGCAATCAATAAAATTACTGAATTATGTAAAAATATTACATAAATACACAGGGGTCCTAAATCAGTGTGGGGAGACTGTCTGGGCTGCAGGCAGTCTCCCCACACCGGGAGCAACGCTGATCGCCGACGGGGGAACGACGGCGATCAGGTAAGTAACGGAAACCGTTAGGACGGTTCAGGACCGTCATCGGTCCGCAATGGGAAAATCCCGATGACGGTCCTGAACCGTCCTCGGTCGGGAAGGGGTTAAGGGGTTAAAAGTAGCCCACTCCCATGCTCCTAATTTACCTCAGCACCATTGTGGAACTATTAGTTTCTTCCCAATCCTCAAGTCCCAGCAATAAAAAAATAATGGTATCCAAGTAAACATGTAACAGAAAATAAATGTGCTGCCCAAAAAGTAAGAAACTGAAAAAACAAATATCTCTATATTTCGGAGTTATAGCCCACGGAGTTATAGCCCACGTCGTCAGTGACAGTAATAACTCACTAAGGAGTGAGATAAAAATGAAACCACTGTAGAATGCCAAGTAGGAAATCCCACTCCGCACTTAGGAATTATTATTCACCTCAAATTGAAGTACTAGATGCCTTAACCTAATATGCCCTCTATAACAAAAATACTCTGAATGTGCCCTGCATTACAAAAAGAGAGAGGTAAAAAAATAATGGCTAATACAATAATAATAATAATTAATAATAATAAAAAAGGAGGAGGAGGGGATAGGGAGAGGAGGGGGGTCAGCTTGCATAAATGTGGCAATAGCGTATAAGAGACAATATGGAGAACATGCACAGTTAAAATAAAATACAAAATAATCACCTATAACTGGGTTTCCATAATAAGTGATACATTAAATTTGTCCGTACGAAAGGCATAGAATTGTGTAAAAGGAAAAAAATATTTGTTTAAACCATTTAAGGAAAGTGTGTTGAACCTCCATATCCAATATGATTCCCTCTGTCTCAGTCTCTGTTACCAGTCTCCTTGCATTAAGATTGGGGGATGAATTAAAAATCCATGAATCTGATGTTATTAGTAGAGTTAGCAATCTCAGAGTGTTGAGTTTTAGGTTTTACTTATGAAACTTTGCAAATAGTGTATATATCATTATTCTGGGAACCATAATAATTGTGAATAATAAATGAAAAGTGAACAGCATATTTTATATTATTCCACTAATCAAAGAATATTTACTGTTATACATTATCAAACTATACGTCATTGAAATGCCAGTGCTCTGTTTATCATTTACAAGCTTGATTTCTTTATTTTAAGAGGTGTTTTGTAACTTTTACTTAACCAGATTGATGTAGACAATCCACGTTATATGTGATTTAGAGAAATGCCGTATACAAGTCAAAATAAATTGATTCACCCAACTGAAATCATAAATCAGAGAACATTTCCAATGATGTCATTAATATCATCATATCTCTGATCATTAGGTAAATAGCTCAGTTATTGCAGATTACTAATCCGGTATGCTACGGTCCCTTGGATGTGTTTTTCTATGGATGTAATGAACAAATTTGTTTTTGAGAGCTTTTGTTCTTAATCCATATATGACTGGGTTCATAGTGATGACTATAGTAAATCCCAATATAGGGAGAATAAGGTGTACATTGGGAGATACGGCACCAAAATTCAACCTGTGTCGAAGAAGAACAAATAGAGATCCAAACATAAAAAGGGAGAAAGCCATCAGATGGGTTATTAATGTGTGGAGGGCTTTCTGACATTCATCTTTGGCAATCTTTAAGCATATTATAAAAGTCCTAATGTAGCTATATATAGCTACAACATACGTAAAGATTATCACTACTATGGCCAAAGTGCTTCCGACTATATCGTTTAGAACAGTACTGCCGCACGCCAGTTTAAGGAACGACATTACTTCACAGTAGACATTGTTCATGTTCATGTTACATAAAGTCAGGCGAGCAGCCAACATCACAATTGCTACTTCAATTGTAAAAGAAAATATCCAAATCACAGTTAGGCAGGTCAGGGCTTTCCCATTTGTCATATAAGTTGGGTACCTCAAAGGATGACCAACAGCCAAAAATCTGTCATAAGCCATTACAGCAAATGTAAGCATTTCAGCACAAGTAATGCTGTTAATGAAGAACGCTTGAATAAGGCAGCCATGAATTGAGATAGTAGTATATCCAGAAAGCATGTCAATTGTGAGCTTGGGAAGAAAAACTGTGCTTCCAAACATTCCGTTAATAATCACATTACAGATGAAGATATACATCGGCTCGTGGAGAGTTGGCTCAGTCCAGATAATGAACACAAGGATAAAGCTAAGTAATATATTGGCTACGTATACCCCAAAGCTGATCACGGCATATAGATATTTAAATCTCTGCATTTCCTCAAGACCAATAAGTATAATGTTCACAGTTATCAAGGAACCATTTTCCATCTTTTGTTTTGTTTGGAATGAAAATAAACAAAAAAGTGAACAATGTAATTCAATAAGTATCTGTAACGCTGCCCAGTATTAATGGAATGAAAACATTTGCTTCAGCTGAGTTTTTATATAAGCATATTTTAATGAAAGGTGAGATCCCTGAAGACAGAAACTCAACAGATGAACCCAAAGGGACCACAGTTTAGATGACTTTAGATATATTAACACCGTAACTATGGAACCATAAATTAGTTCCCTTGTTGGTAATCACCTTCTCTCCAATGGCAATAATTTGTTCACTAAAATGTATTGACCCTTTCATAGATTATACAGTAATAAGATGTGTTATTATTAAAACTATCACATTCTAGAGAGCTTATGGAGACAATATTAATTAATATATATATATATATGTTGGAAATGTGAAAAAAAGTATGAATGTGTTTTATATATATATAAAACACATTCATACTTTTTTTCAAATTTCTAACATACATTTTTTTAAAAAGACATTTACTCCCTTGGAAAATGAACTGAAATGCAGAGTAAAACAGAACCAAGAAAAATGAGCAGAGTTATTCACTAATGTCTAAATGCTCCAAGTCCACATTTGCAAAAATCCTATTTTCGGAAGCCCCGAAATACAAATATTGTTCACGAGATTTATCAATGTCCAGATTTTGCCAAGCAGTATCCGTATAGACTTGAATGTCCACCTGATATCATCACAGCAGTTGGAGGATAAAATGATTAGCAGCTGGGTATATTAATTTCTAAAGGTCATTTTTCTTTTTAGAACAAAAATGCAGAGAACACAATATCAAAAACAAAAATAGGAAAATAAAATGTTTAGGTCAAGCTTCAGTTTCCATTTCTACTATATTATTTATTTATTTATTTATTTATAAAATATTTTACCAGGAAAGATACATTGAGATTTCTCTCGTTTTCAAGTATGTCCTGGGTCCACAAATCATTGCATTGTTACAATTAGGGTACAATAAAATACAAAAACAATATTAATACACAATATATACAAAAATTTAACATAGAACAGGCAGGAAATATATAATCAACCATGACACGTGCATTCTGTTTTGAGGTATGTAGAGAGGGATCTCTTAAAAGACTTTAGGCTTAGGGAAGATTTTAAATTGTGCGGGAGGTCGTTCCACAATTGCGGCGCTCTGTAGGAGAAGGAGGATCGGGCCGCTTTCTTTTTGTATTGAGGTAGACTAAGTAAAGTGCTTGTACTGGATCGGAGGTTATAGAAAGTGGGAACAGCTGGGGAAAGCATTTTGTTCAGGTAGGGTGTGAGTTTACCAGAAAAGCTCTTAAAAACAAGGCTGGAAAGATGAAGGGTGCGTCTGGATTCCAGCGACAGCCAGTTTAGTTCCTTTAGCATGTCACAATGATGGGTCCTGTAATTACATTGTAGCACAAATCTGCAGAACGAGTTATACAATGTGTTGAGTTTATTAATGTGGGATTGCGATGCAGACGCATATACTACATCCCCATAATCAATGATTGGCATCAGCATTTGCTGTACAATCTTTTCCTTTACTGTAGGGCTTAGGCAGGCTTTGTTTCTGTACAGGGCACCTAATTTTGGATAAAGTTTAGATGCAAGCTTTTCTATGTGCAGGCCAAAAGATAGATTGGGGTCTAATATCATACCCAAGTATTTGAAAGAGTGGACCGCGGTCAGTGTGCCATTTGAATTTGTTTTGATGGATAGGTGGGATTGTGTAATTTGTGTAATTTAGGTACCGTTCCAAAGATCATTGTGACAGTTTTGTCAGTGTTCAGGAAGAGTTTGTTTTTTGCGATCCACTTTTCTACCTCTGTAAACTGGTCTTGGAGCAAAACCTCAAGTTGAGGTAGATTGGATTTGCTCGCATAGATTACCGTGTCATCTGCGTACATGTGTACATTTGAGGATTGGCAGACATTAGGCAGATCATTTATAAATAATGTAAATAGTAGGGGCCGAGAATGGAACCCTGGGGAACACCACACGTGACTGGGAGAGGGAGGGAGTCACTGTCAGAAATGGACACATATTGCGAGCGATCCGATACATACGATCGAAACCAGTTTAAAGAATGATCACCAATACCTGAGTTTTCGAGTTTGTGCAGTAGAATGTCGTGGTCTACTGTGTCAAAGGCCTTAGCAAAATCAAGGAAAATAGCTCCAGTTAGGGCTCCTTGTTCCATGCCAGTTTGGATGTCATTGCAAACTTTTAGGAGGGCAGTTGTAGTGGAGTGATTCTGGCGAAAGCCCGATTGATCAGGGGTCAGATAGTTTAATTGTTGGTAGTACTCACAAAGTTGCGTATGGACATATTTTTCTAAGATTTTTGACAATACAGGGAGCAATGATATTGGGCGATAGTTAGAAACCAAAGTAGTGTCACCACTTTTATGGATAGGCACTACTCTCGCAGTCTTCCAAAGTTTGGGTATGTATCCAGACACCAATGATTCGTTAATTAGAGTTGAGACGGGTTTAGCAATTGCCGGCGCACTGAGCTTCAACAGCATTGCTGGGATTTGATCAGGTCCGGACTGGTTTTTCATTTTTAGATTATTAAGATGTTTTTTAATGACACTAACAGGTACAGGTCTAAAATTAAACTTATCTATATTGGGCCTTTGCAAATTTGTAGTTTCAGGATGCGTGTCATTTATTAGCTTGGCAATCAGGGCAGTAGAGCATCCGACAAAATAATTGTTAAAGGCATTTGCTACATCTAAGGGAAGTTGCAGGGTTTGGTTACCCACTTTGACAGTGGAGGGTTGGGAGTGGATTGGGGGAGTTTGTAGTTTATTTATGACTTTCCAAAAGTTTCTAGGGTTTGAGATGTTACTGTTCAGATTTTCATAGAAATATTGGGCCTTGGCCAGTTTTGTCTGTTTTGTGCATATATTTCGCCATTGTCTATATGCACTGTGATCATTCATAGAGCCAGTACGCTTAAATTTTGACCACAAAGAATATATATATATAGTGCACTACTAGTGGTAGAAGATCAATCAAAGGGACATTTGATATTTTCCATGCTCTTGATACAGATAAAATGGTCTAATATGAGATTCCTAGAACTTGTTTAGTGCAATAAGGCAGCTTTAGCTCCCTAAACCAGAGTCTATTCTAAGTGGATACTGTATTGTATATTGTATGGTGCCAGGAAGCAGCGGCTTATAGCTGTGAATTAAATAAAAGAAATACACTTACAGATTTGTGGGGCAAATCAACCCCAGATGTGTGTGCCTGGGTGGTACAATCCCCGCCTATGGATTTCCTTGTTGTACTGGTCTTTTGATGAAGGTCTTTTAGGACCTGTGTGGGACTTCTGCTCACAGGTGACTACAGGTGTGGCCCTTGTTTGTAGGCATTAGCGAGTATCTGCTTGAATGTGCAGTAGTGTATCAGCAATAATTTCTTTCTCTCCTGATGAAGTCTGAAGAGAGAGACAAAATGCATTGAGCAGACCCTGAATCCCGAAAGGTTTTCCAGTACCTGGTGGTGTAACTACTGTTCCATTCTACTGATGGTCAGTGAGGAATACCACTGCAGACTGTTATACCTGGGGATCCAGCCTATTTGAGGCAACAGTGTTTGTGCACATATTGAATGTTTTCAATTGTGCCACTACTTTTGTGAGTGTCCTATTTTATTTGTTTTAGTACTTTTTGAAATTAAAGTTTGCACTATGATGTTTTCTTTCTTTTTTCTTTCCATGTGTGCTTCATGCTTATCTACCAGATTCTAATTATATTTACCACTAAGCCTGTGATAGTGGTGCCCTATTTTGTTAGTTTTCTTCTTTGTTTTGAAGGGATACCGGGAGTGTTTCCCATTTGTAGTGGCTTGCCTTCAAAACCCTTTTACTTAGTCATCTCACTATTCTAATCTTGGTATTACATTTTAACAAGTACTACAAATGTAGTATTTTGAGTTGTTTGGTGTAGCCACTTTAGAATAGTTAACGTAAACAGGGACAGGTCAAGGTCAGAGTAATCCAGAATTTAGAGTAGTCGGTTAAAACACGCCAATAGGTTAGTACATGCAGCTAACAATGTGTAGTCAGAACAAGCCGAGTTTAGAAATCCATGAAAATCAAGCAAACAGACTTCCAAGTCCCATGCAGAGTGATTTAGTAGTACAGCCCTGTAAGGTAGACTTTGAAGAGAGTTTGTTATGCAGAGGGCAGGTAGGAATGGACAGGAAGGGCAGAAATAACTGTAGTCCTTTTCGGACTCCTCTCTTCGAGCAAACACAGCATTTGATTTGTGGTGACCTATTTCAAGGTGTTTGGGGGATTAGGGAAGGGAAATGTTTGCTGAAAAGATTTTGGACTTTTTCAGATTCCAAAGGGGAAGAATTGGAGGTCTGGGTAAAAAAAAGTTCAGACAAAATTTGGACCATAAACTCTAGAAATTGGTATGGTCTATATATGGCTTCCTTTCTATAAAGCACATATGAGTTGAAGTGCAATTTTCTTGTACCAGGTCCTACTCTTTCGGTTCACCAGAAAGGGCTGTATGCATTGGTCAGCCAAATCTACTCCTCGCATAAACTTGCTGTAGTCTACAAGCACTTTGGCTTCTCCAGCTGCACAGTTCCACTTCCCACAGACACTGGCACTGTAGTTTTGTTGTGCATTGTAGACAACATGGATACATCCTTCCTATCTGTGAACTGAAGGGCAAGCAACTCATCCTGGGAGCCTCTACTGCGTCTGGGTTTTGGGGAAACCTCTGTGATTCTTCTGCACTGTGCCACAGGCTAGGTTATCAAAGCAATATACATTTTTAAATAATTCAATACTTGTATAATAGTTTTCAACCCATAGCCTGTACCCCTCATTTAACAAGGGAAGGATTAGACCCCATACAATCTTGCCACTTGTACCCACAGAATCAGAGCATCCTGGTGGGTCAAGATGGCAATCCTTCCCCTGGTAAATACAAAACTCCCATTTATATTCAGCACTGGACTTG